GATACTTCGACAACTTCTCCCTTCTAGTTCTTTAGGAAATGCAAGTAGACAACAAATGATAAGTTGAATTTTTACGTTATGGTTTAAAGAGTTACGTCCTTTGGTATTTATTTGAACAGTGCCCCCAGGTGTTGGCCGCAATGTTGGCCAGATGTTTGCCGCAACGTTGGCCAGATGCTGGCCGCAATGTTTGGCTACGTTCACACGGCACCGGAAGAATTTTCGACCGGTTGAAAATTCATGCTTTTAGGTGTTCAGCTCACGCGGAATCACCTTAACAGAACGAAAATTTAACGAAAAGTTCAAAGTTCGTGTGAACAGAGCGAAAATATTGAACGGTCTCGTGTGAAATAAATGTCTGGTCGAAAATTCGTCCGGTACCTTGTGATGCGGTGTGAACGTGGCCTAAGAAATCTTTTTAATAAGGCTAGTGGTCACGGAATTCCTTCCCAGAATTTTTCTTCAAAGAATGAAGTCGTAGACAACGTTGGAGCCGTCTATGATGGTCGGGGTAAGGGAAAAAGGTAGCCTTTCTCTCCCACGCCACCGTTTTTGATTTGTCACGCAACGCCCTTGACCGTTGCGTGACCCGACAAAATCAACTGCATAGGAGACTACGTTTTTTCCGAATTGTCTCAAAATCTGGCTCAAATTTTGACTGCCAGAGAGGTAAGGTCCGCTGCTAGTTAAATATAAATCAAGATAGTGTCTCCGGTCGTATTAACGTAATACGATCGGAGAATGTTGTGAATACGGGAAAATACTTGAAAAATTCCTGTATTTACGAGGCAATAACTACTTTCAGAACAAACTTTAATCCAAGCGAGGCAACTGTATATAATGATTACAGTCAGTTATGGTGATGTTTTACTGGATGTGAAAATGACACTGGAGGCCTTCGGTCCTTGAGTTACTGTCGTGACACTATTTGCCCAGTAATCTGGCATCATATATGCGAGCCTCGCTTTCATATGATTTCTTGGAATACAACCGGAAATAAGATATGAGTGCAGTGGAAAGCTTTCATTCGAGCTCTGCAAAGGATAACTTGAACTATAAACATATTTATCGTATTAAATACATAACCAACGCACCGAGTAATACGGCTGTAAGGGAACATTTTTCCTCAGTGGAAAAGGTTGACCTCAATTTCCTCAAGTTGAAAAGAGAAATATCGCTCAAAAGACGGTAAGCGTGTTCAAGTTTTAATATGTTGGCCTCTTATTAATTTAAACAATGAAACAGCAATTTTTTCGATAGTTTGTTCGGACTTATCTAGAAATAGAAGAACTTAATAAGTTTATATACTTATAAAATTCACAGACACACCGTATATAATTCATTTTTACTGGCTGATCTAACCCGGAAGAGAAGATCAATACTCGAACGAAACGATGATCGAGGTTTGTACCCGTAGACATCTTGAAAGCTAAAGGCTAAAGTGGTTTTGTCGTATTGTACATATTTTGTTTGTGACAGGATCTACAGGATCCCCAGGCGGCATGGATGCCGCATGTCAGTCCTTGTCATGTTGCTACTCATAAAAGGAGATCCAGCCTCGATTAACTGAATTAAATGAATCACCCACCTTCAACCTAACTCACAAGCTATTTTATTTTAACACGACTGCTTAGCGTTGTAGATTTTAAAGCGTGTACATCTGATCGTTTAATGTCTAAACACGTCATTGGGTCTCGTTGAAAAACAATCTTGAGAGTATTTAAGAGTTAACTAACTGACTTGTTTCGAATTTAAAGTATAAACATCGCAAATTGCAAATTTTTACGTGAAAGCGAAAGTTTAATATCGGGAAGGGAAACTAAGATAGGGGAATCCCCGGTTCGATAAATCTTTTTTTTTTTAATCTTATGAGGTTGTCAGGGATGCCGTAATGCCTTTTTAGACATAATAAACAGATTTAATGTGGTAATATAACTTCGCTGAAAAATTTAACTAAATCTCTCAGTTATGTCTCCGATNCTAAACACGTCATTGGGTCTCGTTGAAAAACAATCTTGAGAGTATTTAAGAGTTAACTAACTGACTTGTTTCGAATTTAAAGTATAAACATCGCAAATTGCAAATTTTTACGTGAAAGCGAAAGTTTAATATCGGGAAGGGAAACTAAGATAGGGGAATCCCCGGTTCGATAAATCTTTTTTTTTTTAATCTTATGAGGTTGTCAGGGATGCCGTAATGCCTTTTTAGACATAATAAACAGATTTAATGTGGTAATATAACTTCGCTGAAAAATTTAACTAAATCTCTCAGTTATGTCTCCGATACCCTAGGTGCCATAAAATTCTTGGCCCGGCTGTGATTTCAGAGAGTTTTAATATGTTTGAGGTAATTTCTTTCCGGCGCTAAAGTTTTTTTTGAACGCCCTTTGCAAACCAGACCAAGCAAAGCATTTTCCCTTTCACTCAAAGATGTCAGGTATGCCATATTTACTCGATTAAACGCCGCGGCACTCATTGAATCTTCAGAGTTTTCAATGCGGGGCTTATTCAAGGGAAACGTTTATTTCGAAATCACATTTCATTTTAAGTCACCGACAACAGTTACGGTAAATCATTTATGAATATTAAGTAAAACAGACAGATGTTTTAAGTTCCAATTTCTCTCTTTATTTTGATGAAAAAAAAACGCAACATTCTTCCGATTGGGTGTGGCGTTTATTTGAGGGCGGTATTTATACGTAATCTTGGTTCCATTCGCGGCGTTTAATGGAGGAAATAGTTTTCGGATTTTAACCAAAGGGCGGATACAGCTTAATGAACGATCATTATATTATAGCAAAGCAGTGGGCGCAGGGGAGTTATTTGTGATCTTGATTGCTGCACCGTAATTTTCAGGGAGTTATTATAACTCCAAAAATGGAGCAAAAATTTTAGGTACAGGATAACCCCTTTTTGGGGGTTACTTTAACTCCTAATTTGACTCCGAACTTGGGGTCATTTTTACTCCTGAAAAAGAGTTCTTTTTACTCCCAGTCTGGAGTCAAAATAACTCCAAAATGGGGTTATTTTTACTCCTTACATGGGTTGTTTTTACTCTTGTTGGAGTTAATTTAACTCTGAAAGTAGAGTAAAAATTTTAGGTACAGGATAACTCCTTTTTTGGGGTTATTTAACTCCTCAATATCTGGGGTCACTTTTACTCCTGAAAAAGAGTTCTTTAAACTCCTTTTTGGAGTTTAAATAACTCCCCAAAAAATAACCCCACGTAAGGAGTTAAATTAGCCCCACTAGAGGAGTTATTATAACTCCTTGAAAAATGTAATTTCTGACGGTTGAGTGACTAGGAACGAATTAGTCAGAAATTGCTATTCTGATGGCACGATTGAGAGGTTTTAGTATTCTCAGGGGAGAGTTTTGAGTATTTAATGTCTTAGCGGGGAATATTAATCATTCTAGCTCAGTCAGTCTTTCTGTTTGCTGTTGTCAATTTAGTTGAATTTTTTCTATGGAGTTATGCGTTTGTTTGTACCTCTTCCCCGAGGTTCCGTGCCATTGCATTAGATGGGGAATACGTTTCCACATATTTTTTGGCCACATCTAAAGAGTGGTTTTTTAGTGGTTTTTCGTATCTGGCGTGGTACACTTAATTTTTCAAGCTTTTCAAGTTAGACTTGCTAGCATATTCTATGTTGTAATAAGTATATGTTACGACACATTGTTGTTGTCGGATGACTGACTGACCATTCCTCAATAAACTATTTCACATTGAATGTTTCGTGATAGTGTAGTCAGAATTTACTGTGTGTCAAATTTCACAGGTGACAGCGCTATTCGCCTTTGTTTACTGTAAATAAATCGAAAATGAACTTGACCTCGATATCAAACCTTAATGCGATCGTCTTTAATATTATCCAATGCTCGGTGGGAACGAACGTTTCCGAAGGGCGACGTGCCGACGTATTTGGTTGCATAACGATTTGCTAGATTCAACTGTATAAAATCAAAGGCGATGCGCGGTATCAACAGTGAAATGTAACTATAATCAACATTCAACAGCTGATTCAAGGTCACAAATAACTCCTCTGTACCCTGTGGGCGAAGTGGCTATCCATCACGTCCTGCTTAAGCAAAATCAATTTTCATATAGGCTTATAATACGTCTTTTACTGGCCACTCACCCCCTACCCCACCCCTCGCTGTTTTTTTCTGCCCTCTCTTTGCGCCGCCCCCACGATCTGAACCCTTGAAATTGGCTTTGGTCAAGATGGCTGGGAATTATAAACGTCGACTCGATCTCAGGCCGAGGAAACGCCAATAAAATAAATTGGAAACTTGGCGAGCATTCATCCATCTGGGCCTCACGCTTAGGTTTGACGAAAAACTTCATTTGTATGTTTTGCGAACTCATTGTACGTTCTTTGATATGATCATTCGGTTTTTCCTATTAATGCACATGAAAATGGTAAGAGGTACATTTTAAGCATGGGAAAAGGACAAGTTTTTTTTTTTACCACTTTCAGGTTAATCTGGTGCCTGACACTGAGTAAAGTGACTTGTTTCTTTTGCGTCTTTTGGTACGTGTGAAGTGTAAAGGTTGTTCGTCTGACCATGGCAGGTGAGTCGTCAAGTGTGAGTTTAATGATTACTGGCTTAACTGACCTTGCTGTTATTATTTTACAGAGCGGCAAGCCTGTGTTGGAGGGAAAGGGCGAAAGAAAAGTGAAGAGTAGTGAGAGCCACATCCGTGACTGAAATTAGGCAACTGTAATTAAATAGCGACAACAAACACCAGCATAGTGCTAGACCTGTAAATAAGGATTATCACATCCTTCACGTTCAGTTATCAAGCTTAAAATTCACCATCTTTCTATAGTCCATACAGTGCGCTCTCGACATTGCTGATCCGAGAGGTATGCGAGACATCTCTCAATTATGAACCTAGTATATGGCCTTGCTCACTCTAAACTTAAAATTTAACTCTTTGTTTGACATTATACCAGTCGGATTTAAGGAACCAACGTCTGAATTTTGTTCTCTGCAGAGAGCCAGGAACCTGCAAGTTCTACGAAAAAAGACAACGACAATGAAAATGGGAGGACAAACACCACTGCTAAGGACCCTCACCATAGCAGCCCTTTGTTTAAAAAAGAAGGAGAAATCTGGCAAACAGTGCCCCCCAAGGGTCAACACAGAAGACCACCAAAAAGAGGGCCACATCGTGGCGGGACAATGGGTAGTAATACCGCAAGTGGGACGTCAAGCAAATCGGCGCCCCACCAAAAGCAGCGTAATGAGGGTCCAGAGGAAATTCGTGGAAGAGGTTTCTGGGGACGAAGAGGGCGTGGTAGAGGAAGTAAACCAGGAAGGAGCCAAGGAAAAGGAGCTGCAGGTAAATATGTGTTTTTCTTGCCTTTATGCCGTCCGATGGAGAAAGATACAAACAGGGCTCTCATAGGAACCATTGGTTTGAGATGCTGTTGTAGTATTGACCACTATAAGTACTTTGTTTGCAGGATCTGATCAACAGCCTGGTGCAATCCAACGTCAGCGTAGGGGTCCATTCTCCCTAGGTTTCACACAACCGGGTATCTGGTACGAACGGAACAAGTTATATGTGTTGGGACTACATTACAGAACGTCACCTGACAGCTTGAAGAATTTCATGGAGCTCATCAGTCACTATGAGGTGAAGCGCGTGGATTGGTTTAAGCCAAATGGAAAAGCCATCGTCACCTTTAACATCGAAAAACTTACAGGAGAAGGTAAGAACTGGGCGTTAATACGTAAACAGAGAGGGACCACACTTATACTGCAAAATAGCCCGTATTTTTTGCCAAGGTCAAGAACACACGTGCGAACGATCCAAGGAAAAGTCTGGGGTGAGGGTGAAAACGGAGAGTGAGACTGGGGAGAGGCGCCGAAAATTCTTCTCTCGGCTCTTTGAGAGGTCCACGCACATCGCGCGAAACTATATCACACCGGCGCCTCGCGTCTTGTAAAATCGATTGTGAGGGAAAAAAACGACTTGTTTGCAGTCTATACCACACATTTGATGGCTAAAAATGTGAAGTCGATGTGAAGAAAGAATAGGCCTTTTAAGCCCCTACACCAGCACGCGCAGTATAACACAGTTTTTTTCACTTACTATTAGCCCGTGTCAATGTTATCACTTAACCTACTGCGTATTTAAGAAAGAAAAATACATGTCGTATGGTAATTTAGACTCAGCAGTATCAATTTTGTTTCAGATTTTTCAAACATTCGTGCAGAAGCTAAAAGAAGGCCGCAAGAAGGTGTGAACGTGTTGATTGAAAGAGCGCCTGAATGCAAAAGTGTTTTTGTCAGCGGGTTTTCGGAAGACACCACAAAGGAGCAAGTTGAAACTTACTTCGATAATAAAGTTGGTGCATTAGATCCGGCCCGTGGAGTGCAGATAAATAATCAACTCTGGAATGAGGGAAAGAAGCACAAGAGAGCTATTGTCTATTTCAAAGACAAGAAAAGTAAGTAAAAGTACACGTACGAAAGGAAATGCAACCATTTTTAATTGTCCGTGGTGGTAAGGTGAATAGCTGAAGATCGTCGAAGAGTCAGCATGTGTAAGCAAGAAGACAAAAAGTGTACTCACTTAATGTACATGCAGCGAATGACGATGGATGGTTTTTCATCCAAGCATGTCATGATTTGAAATTTTAAAATTTACTCTTCTTAAATATTTTAATTCGTTCTGCTACGAAACGCAGTTAATCGTCCTTAATATTGAAAGATTGCTGTGTGACCCTCCTTCAACCTTACATTTATGGATCTACCTATCGTAAAGAACGTTTATAAAGCGATGCTGATTCGTAAGGCTAGCATTCGACACGCCAGCCTTGTAAATCTCTTCACGGTGGCAAATATGCTTGTACTGCCTTTTTCAGTAACACGGAAACATTGAATTTTCGCAGCCAAATTCATAACTTGCATAATTGCAATCACAAGCGACAAATCTCCAGACACAGCAAAATACAAAATGAAAAAAAAGAAATGAAATCCACCATTCACAAATCATGACCTTTACAACTCGCTGAAGTAAACGTCTGTTTCTGAGGGGTCCGCTAAGATGATTGACGGCAGCAAACAACGAAAACGTTAGTTGCAGGGGGGCTCTCTCACCCCCTTGGTTAGTTGGATTTTAAACTTCAGAGTTCGCGTGGTATTGAAATCCGCGGTATTTAAAGACTCAGATTTATAAATTTATTATTTAAACTCTATTTTTTGCTTCACTTGTTTTAACCGGAATCATCTTTAAAACGCCTTTCGCAGGTGGCTTGCTGCTTTCCTCAATGTTTTCTGCCGTGTCTTGCAGCAAACAACGGAAACGTTAGTTACAAGTGGGAGGGGGGGGGGGCTTCCCCACCCCCTTGGTTAGTTGGCTTTTAAACTTCAGGGTTTGCGTGATATTAAAATCGCAGTAGAACTCAGATCAATTTTTTAAACAGATGGGATTTTTTTTTTTTTTAAACTTTTTTTTTTGTTTTCTTTGTTTTAACCGGAATTTTTTTTAAACCCCCTTTCCGAGGTGTTTTTCTTTTTTCCTTATTTTTTTCCGCCGTGTTTTGCAGAAAAAAAAGGAAACTTTAGTTAAAAGGGGGGGGGGGGGGGGGCTTCCCCACCCCCTTGGTTAGTTGGCTTTTAAACTTCAGAGTTTGCGTGATATTGAAATCGCAGTAGAACTCAGATCAATTTATTAAACCTTATTTTTTGCTTCACTTGTTTTAACCAGAATCAACTTTAAAACGCCTTTCGCAGGTGGCTTGCTGCTTTCCTCCATGTTTTTTGCTGTGTCTTCAAATTATCCCTAGAGTCTTTGCGGTCGCAAATCGTGCCAGATCTCCGTATCATATTAAGTATCAATATACGCTGCGAGAATATGTATCCAAGAGCCGTAACTTTATGGAATTCTGAAAAAGCTCCCATCAAAACGTTAAGCAAAAGTCTGGCCTTGAATTACTAAAATAGTATTCAAAAGCAAGAAAAAATTAACGCTAAAAACGAACGACGTTTAGGATTCGTCATATGTATTAGTAAATCTCTGCTTATAATATGCATGTTTTTCCCTGTCTTCTCTCTGTATTACAGGTTTGTGGAAAGCAATTAAGAAGGACCACTTTTTAGATGGTAGGCCCCTTCATGTGGAGGCTTTTTACCCTTATATAGGAACAATTGTGCCCGTTGATGAACCAAAATGGCCATCAAGACCTCTTCCAAACGAAGCTGAAAATGGCAAACTGCCGGAGTTCTACAAAGAAGTTGATCGGGACCTCATGGAATTTGTGATGAAGTCAAACCAGGAAGTCAAATTGAAGGAAGAATTAGATCAGTGCGAACACGCTCGAATCAGGTGGACGAACGAGGATGGATATGTGTTAATTAAATATGGTGGAACTAAGGTGGACAGGGAGCTTGATGAACAGGCTTGGAAAAGTCGCTGTTCTGATATTGTCGACTCATTTCTCCACAACTGTTGCGCAAAAGAATTTGCATTGGAAGAGGAAATTAAGGACGAAGTTGCCGATCAGTTGCCACAAATAGAAAGGCTTCTTCCGAAGCACACAGCCCAAATAAAACTGGAGAAGGAATCTTGCCAGCTAAGACTGGTGTGCCAAAAGTCAAATATGCCAGATTTTCAAGAAAAAATGATGCTTCGCTTGAAAGAGGTCAAACGTCAGGTTCTGGAGAAAAAGTTGGAGCAGAAGGAGAGGACTGACATAGCCTCCGAAAAGCTTCAGCTTCTTCAAAATGCAAAGATTGAGGATTTGCTAAAGAACGAATTCACGACAGAAGTTCAAGCCAAAGTGGACTTAGGCGGCAAAAGCCTAGTCATAAAAACACCGAAAGGTCTTATGGAGTCGGTTATGTCACACCTTAATAAGCGTTTGGACGAAATTGACCACAAGTCTATGCCTTATCCTCCAGAGATTCTAGGCATCTTGAAAACAAAAGTCGGGAAACGAAAAATGAAAACTGAACTGCCTGAGGGTTGCGCTTTTAACGTTGACGAGAAGACCAAAAGCGTCATCCTTCTCGGGCGAACACTTGACGAAACAGTACGAGGTAGAGAAAAGGCGATGGAAGTGCTCATCAGTGACCGAAATCTCTCTGTTAACGACAAAGATAATCACCTCATAAGATCCGGAAAGTGGGACGACCTTTGCAAGAAACTGGAAAAGCGCCTAAGGATCCGCATCAAACGCGAACTATCTTGTATTGCTGTCTTTGGGTTCAGGCAAGATGTAGCAGAAGCTGTTACCAAAATGAGGGACTTTCTTAACGAGAAGAAAGCGACAGAAGGAGAATTCAGACTTGATTCGCCTATTCATCGAAGGTTCTTCAATGAGTTTTACAAAGATGAACTAACTAAAATCAAAGAAGAGCTTGCCTTTTCCGCTGTCAATATTTCTTTAGATGAGGATGGATATCGGATACGTTTTTCTGGGACTGAAGATGGCGTGAAGGAGGTGGAGGAAAGGTTGTACCTTATGCAAGAGCAGATTAAAGAGAAAACGGTTAATATTTCCACACCAGGTATGCGAACGTTCTTAGCTCAAGAGGAAGGAAAACGGTTGATAGCAACTATAGAATGCGAACAAAAGTGTGTTATCGAGGTCACCGAGCAAAGCGGACAACAAGGTGAGGAAGATGAAAGTGACGACGACGAGCCACTGAGTACCAGTAGTGACGGCGATGACGAGGTTGATGAAAATGAAGAAACCATTATTTCAGAAGGGAAAAAGGTTATCTGGAAGACAGGGAACATTGAGGAAGAACAGGTTTGCATGACGATCTTTTTGTATTCTCCCTAAATATAACAGAAAAAAACAAAATTAGACGAATAGATGAGTTTAAGTCGACCGTATATCTTGTTACCTGCTGTTATGTATTTCTTTATCACAAATGCAAAATCTCGTCACCTCGGAGCATCTATCTCTCATAATCATATAATATGTTCAATATCAAGCCTTAATCACAGCATGTTGGGTTCCCAGGCTATTTGTATTACTCTTTCACGCCAAAACAATGCATTGGACTTGAGAACCTATGACGTTAGAATCAAGGAGCTTCTACCTGGAAAAAACAACTGTCAAATTGGGTTGTGACGACGTTTATGAACACGGAGAATTTCATAGGAAAAGCAATCAAAGAATAGACTGAGTTCTAATGCGTCTTGACAGTTATTTATGATCAATGTACGGTCTGGGTTAGTAATGGACTCCAGATACCTGAAATGACTAGGCGGACTAGAGGGCTGAACTTTTTACTTAAAATTCCTGTTGGCATACATGTATTGAACTGATCTAATTTTTATGATTCTTTTCCATTGTAGGCGGACATTTTAGTGTGTTCTGTGGGTTCAAACTTTAATCTCTCCATTGGTGCGGTTGCAAACGCGATGAGCCAAGCCGCTGGACCCACACTGCAAAAAGCCCTGAGAGAGAAAAAAGATGAGATAGCTGTCCTTGGAGAGGGAGACATTATTCACACTGTTCCTGGAAACCTACCTTGTCGTTACGTCATTCACTGTGTATGTTGCCCATGGAAAAAAAGTCCTGAGCAAGAACAGGTTGGTGCGAATCAATCGAAGTTCAGATTACAAGCATAATGCTGTAATAGGGAACGTATAACCTCAGTATTTATGAGATCAAAATCTCACCTGCGAAGACAGGAAGACTTTCTTTTTCATTCAAGCCAACCAATCCAGACTGAACTGCTTTCGAAAGTCTATAAAGCGGATTAACCATTATCTACACGAAAACGGCCTGAAGAAATTTAAGTTATAATCTGACTGTCGACCATGCATTAGGTTAAAAAATATTACCTTTTTTATATATGCTGTCGAAACCCAAAAGAACCCTCAACTTGTAGACAAGCCTCTTGCTCTGTCAAAGTCTCATATCAGCTTTTTGTCCTTTAGATTCTCAGAGATTTGTTGGGGAAGTGTTTTGACAAAGCTTCTGAGCTCGGGGCGTGCTCTATTGGCCTACCACTTATAGGAACTGGTAACCTCAATTTCCCGTATGAAATTGCTGTCCACATTATGATAGAGGCCGCTCTTGATTACATTCAAGCAAACCCAGACTCGCCTCTAGAAGAGTTCAGATTCATTGTGTACGGCGGTGACCAGCTTGGAATTACAGAGTTTGAAGAAAAGTTTAGAGAGTTTAAGAAGGAAAACTATTCAAAGCCAAAGCCTTCTAAGCATCTAGCTGACCTGCGAAAAAGACGCCAGGTGACCCCTACAGCTGAATTTAGTTATAAAGTTGTTGATGTTGGAGGTCTTACGGTGACGCTTATGAAAGGAGATATCACACAAGAATGTTCTGACGCAATCTGCAATGTTGTTACCCAAGACCTTGACATGGAAAGTGGCAACTTGAGCAAAACCATTGCTGGGGTCTGCGGCAACGCGGTGCAAAGAGAGCTACGTTCAAAAGCACCGCAGCGTCCAGGAGAAGTTTTGATGACCTCATCTGGATTCTTATCAACCAAGAATATTATGCATATGGTTGTAGGATCTGGAAAGAAGCAGCATCTTCAGGCATGTGTGGAGAAAGCTCTTAAGATGGCTGATTCTGCTAGCCTGGATTCGGTGTCCATTCCAGCGGTTGGTAGTGGAGGATTGGGATTATCCCCTGAGGACTCGGCGGAAGTAGTTTTTGAAGCAATCGTAGCGTTCGCTAACAATCCTTCCCAATCCGTTCATGAGGTGAGAGTTGTGGTCTTTGACGATTTCAACATTGGTGCATTCGTGAACGAGTTAGAAAGGGTCCAAAAGGAGAGCGCACCTTTCAGTTACTCCGGAGACAACGAAGAAGTAGCAGATGCAACTAACAATGACGAAGCCCTGGAGGCCCCAGGCGTGATTTCAACATTGGTGCATTCGTGAACGAGTTATAAAGGGTCCAAAAGGAGAGCGCACCTTTCAGTTACTCCGGAGACAACGAAGAAGTAGCAGATGCAACTAACAATGACGAAGCCCTGGAGGCCCCAGGCGATGAGCTCCCTACATGTTGTCGACGCCAAAAAGTTATCGTTCATGGGCGTACAGAGTCGTTTGACGCTGTAATAGAAGCCATAAAAGATGGAGTCGCCAAAGCATGCAAAGATCCCCGCATTATTAAACGCGAGGTCGTTAACCGTTTGTCCAAACGGTGTATACGGGATCTAAAAAAAAAGGCACGTACGCGAGATGTGAAATTAGACCAACCAGAAGCCGATACCATCAGACTGGAAGGGCTTCCTAAAGACGTGATGGACATAAACTCAGAAGTGTCTGATGCCATTCAAGAACAGAGGGAACGAGAGCACAGGGAAGAGCGAGCAGAACAAACATCCAAAACTGTTCAATGGTACATGGTCGACGTCTCAGGAAAACTGGAGCCTTTCGAAAAAATGGCAAACAATGAAATAGATTCAGCCTATAAAAGCAAGAAACCGTCGCTGCTTTTTACCCATGAGAATTTAAAGGCCGAAATCAATTTTGGGACCATGGAAGTTACATTTTTGAGAAATGGGAGGATCAAGCAAGTCAAACGAATAGATGGTAAGAAAACGGTATATTTAAGTTTGGTCTGTTTAGCGTGTGGCACAATAGAAAGAGGTCAAGTCAACGTAGAAAAAGTATCACATTTTGGATCAACTATAATGCTTTCAAACAAACCACAAGGCAACTAAAAAGGCAATTAACCCCTGGAAAAATACCACTGATATACAACCAAATTTTGTTTGTTCTGTTCAAACATCTTGGATGCCAGACCCCAGGCCCAAGACTACAAACGACAGTCCTTAGACTGAATTCAAATCCTGTATTCTAAATTCTAAATTTAACATGGACTTTCGTCCATAGCCAAATAAAATGGCGACAGCGATCAATGCATCAAAGTGATAAAATTTAAGACTTCGGGATGAAAATACTGCTTTGGTCAAACTCGTGGCCTTTTTGAGCTCTTGGAATGGTCACAAATATACGAACTGTACTGTTCACAAAAACAGTGTATCCCTGTTGGTGGTAACCACTTAACGTTGAGCAAAGGGAGAGTGTATCGAAATCTACCGGATGTATATATCAAGTGATTTCATCAACTGATTGATGAAATTTTTTAAACATTGTGAACCCTTAAGATGAGGTTTAAAAAAACAAATTCGATATTAATTGTAGATTTGAAATTAACTGAGGGAATGATCATCGTAGGCACGTACAAAAGTTAGAAAGGTCTGAAAAGAATTCAAGGTTTTGACAGGACTTCAGCATATCAGTGACCTCCTCGTTGCCTTTTTGATACATTACCATTTGAACTCTGAGTATGTATCAAGCCACTGGTGGTGTGTGTGCAGATCCGGCAATTTATTGGGCTTTTCACTATGTTCCTTAACGGGAATGAACATAGATTAAGTATATAAAACTGAAAAAAAATTCTACTGTTAACTATGGAGGTAAAAATCAACAAAGTGATCATCGCGGATATTCAGCCTACTAACTTTTTGTAGTTGATTTTCTCCCGCTAATGATTTTACCGTGAGCTCCGTGAGAGAAACTATTTAACTCACAAGTAGACATTTGTTTTTCATTAGTGTATCCTCTCCCTGATGAATGGGACCCCCAGCCTCGAGACGAGCGCGGTAAAGAAGAGACTCTTCATTTGGTCAGCCTTGCACAGGACTCCCGAGAGTTCAAAACGGTCGAAGACAAGTTTCTTCAGTCGCTGCGTGGGAAAGTCTCCATAACCAACATAGAAAGAGTTCAAAACCCGTCGCTGTTTAACGCATACGCTGTGAGAAAACAAACTATGGATTTGAAAAACGGCCCCCATGAAAACCAACTAGAACTTTTCCATGGAACAAAGTACGAATCTTTTAAGCCCATAAACGTGCAGGGATTTAACAGGAGTCTGTGTGGTAAAAATGGTGAGTCAGGCATAAAGTGTCCTTTTTTCAGCTAGCAGCAGAAAATGATCAAAACTAACCTTTCCTAAGTGGCAACATAAGGGCTCAGAAAACAAGCATGAAGGCAGAAACACAGTTCCCAATTTTCCTGCTTCTTTTTAACACGGACGAACGACAAAAAATTCCACCACTTCTGTGCTCAACTGCAGTAATTTTTCTAAGTGGGGAACACTAATTGTATCTCACACGGGGTGCATATGAATTCAGTTGCTATCATGTGACCATCAAACAACCAATGGCTGCAAAGCGATTGATCAAGAGAAAAACAAGCTAGATGACAATACCAGTGAAGTAATAAGCGGCAGAGTTTGACTGATCGGTAAGCCATACATGACGTTGGTCATACATAAACCCCCCAATGGGAGTTATTATATTCTATTCGTAAAAGAAATAATGATGGGCCGCGGCATTTAGAGCTGTCTTCTCTTAAGAAAGCCCTTGTGTTGTCATTACGGATCAATTTAGGTTTCCGTTCTGGGAAACTGCCCACCTACCCCTCCAGTAAAGCAATCATTTTGCCCTAAAGCCTGGTTTTCACTAGTGCATAAGCATAAGCATGAGCACACGCACATGTGTAAGAAAGTGAAAGTGGGTGGACATAAGCATAAGCAAAAGAACAAGAAAAACGGACAACTTCGTTCTTCTTGTGCTTGTGCTTGTGCTTGTGCTTATGTCGTAGCTTTAACTAGTGAAAACTGGGTCGACATAAGCACAAGCATAAGCACAAGGCCATGGACCAATCATAGGTCACTTTGACCCAGACCTTATGTGAACATATCAAAAGCAATATGGCAGACGCTTCGTCGGCTATCTTGTTTATCATCGGGTTGAGGAGAGCTGGTATTGAGAATTGAGTCAAATATGCCATTCTGCGCGTGCGTATATGCCCTTATGCTTATGATTATGAGCTAGTGAAAACCAGGCTTAAGTGAGAACTAAGTGTTAATATTTGCATAGGGGAGGGGTAGGTTGGCAGTCTCCCAGAAGCCTGAATTGCATGATTCGTCATTACAACCTAGTTCCTCAGTGCCAGTGTAAAAGGTACAAAGTGGCTGTTTATTAATTCCTGTAAAGGCTAAATTAATCATCCAAATAGAAAGAGAAGAGATTGTTTACATCCTCAACCGCAGAGGAAGTCAGTTCATCGAGAAAAGGTTTTATTGAATTTTGTAATTCAGGTACTTGTAGCTCATTACTATGCAAAAACTCACTTACAAACCAAGTGATGGCGCTCTGATATGTTTGTTTGCAGCGACGGCCTACGGCGATGGTGTTTACTTTGCAAAAGATGCCAGTTACTCGGAGACATATTCACAACCAGGCCCTCACGGTGAACGCTGCATGTACCTGGCGAGAGTGCTTGTTGGGAAGTACACCGCTGGAAATCAAGGAATGAAGAGGCCACCCCCAATAGATCCCAACAAACCAGAAATTCTTTACGACTCGGTCGTCAACAAAAAGGACGATCCGACTATTTTTGTGATTTTTAATGATTTCCATTGCTATCCCGAGTACATAATAACATTCAAGAAACCGTAAAGAGTAGTTAAATTAGCCCATTCGGGTGGTTGGTAATTGAGGTTATTTTAACGAGTATCATCCTGCACTACCTATAGATAATTAGAGTTTCAAATACATGTATTCATTGTTGGGCTGCCTGGGCAACCCAATGATAATTTGGGCTTCGTCTTCAGGGTCGCAAAAAGACAAAATGGCGGACGGACCACGTTTCCCGTCCCCCCTATGATGGGGCACCTTTTTTGACTATTGAGGAGAGGATGGGTCATTTTATTCAAAATATTTTCTGTTTCTGATTGGCTCAAATTCTCCGGCTAATAACCAGCTAGCGTTGACCAAATATGGTACACGCTTACGTATATCCGCGGTAAAAGAACATCAATAGGGAGCTTAAGCAAAGGCGTTTTGGGGGGACGCACGTCAACTGGAATTGAGACCTTTACTCTTAGCCACAAGTTGCTCGGCAACGTTTCGGCAACTTTTGATTTTTTTTAGCATTTTACTTTTTTCGCGACATTTATTAGCTTTCGAAAGAAACGTCAGCTAAATTCAACTGGTTTATACTACTGTGTGAGTGTGTGGACTCCAGGACTGGCCCAATCATCAATGCCAGCTTGCACGCCTTTCCGCGAGTTCAGTGGTATCACATGACACGTTTTTCAAGACGGCGGACTGTCATCAGGCCCGATTAATCCTATTGAGGAAGCTAAAAGGCTGGGGGCAAATTTTGCTACCCCGAGTTAGCTAAAATGGCTAGAGAAAAAAAATCCAGACGAATCCGGTCAGTAAAAACTGCAATAAACCAACTTCAAGTGCAAACAAGTAAAATAAAATAGCAACTATTCGGCAACTTTTTCGGAATTCAGCAACTTTTCGAAAACTTTAAAAATAAAATAGCAACTTTTAGACACTTTTATTGGCAACTTTCTGGGAATTTATCGGCAACTTATGGCTAAGCTTAATGACTTTACGCTACCAAATATGTATCGCTAAGTGCCTTTATTCTTATAGAGACGATTTGGCCGAGAATTTGGGCTAAACCACTGTCCATGACTAAATTAAAAAGGTCCATTTCCTGTTGACGTGTATCCCTCAAAATCGTGTTTGCTTCAGCTCCCTAATAGTTCAGCCTATCGCCAAAAGAGGGACGGCAAACCTAAAGCCTTGTGGGAAGCTCAGCTAGCTCAGTTGTCTTCATAGGGCTGGGGATGATTGTGGAAAATTTCACACGTTTTGTCTGCAAGAAATAGCCGAACTTCTGCCCAAAAATAAAAACATATAGTAGAAAAGCGAAATTACTACCCAACGGATGACAATTGATATTTGAAGAATATCTTTGGAAATTAGAGAAAGAAGGAAGGCTGACATCTGGGAATATAATTTTTTGCCAATATTTTGAAAGGTGCGCCTTTCTTCTCCAGGGTCTTTGCTTTATGTTGTTTTATATTTTATAGATGATTAGATCCTCTGTTGGGATCCGCTTCTTAATTTTTTGTAACGTTGTTCCTTGCTTCCAAAACTAAAGTCTTAGACTTAAGTAAACATCCTATTATCATCTGAATTTGCCGAGGAACAGACAAATGAAGACCAGAACTTTACATCGATCGAGGTAAGCTTAATGATTTGAAGTATGTCAGAATTATTTTTTTGAATTATCAATAACTAAAAATTATTGGATTATGCAGATCTTAGAGGGTGTTATCGGTCCAGGAAGATTAAACAAATGCCCTCGAGGATCTGGATAATTCTTCAGATCATACGAATGCCGAATCCCGAATCTAATAATTACTGAATTATTCCCTCATTCCACGCCAGTGAGCAAGAAAAGAGGCCGAGTCTCTAGTGGACATTCTTATCATCGTCACCTGAGCCTCGCGTTGGTTCTTTTGTTGACAGGAATTCCGGGAAGGTGTAAGGTATTAGGGTACCAAAACCGATAACACTCTAATCTAAGTAGATTTCAGTGAAATGTTTAGCCGCATTCAGAAATGAGAATAATTATAGCAGGATTAGCTACAGATCTAGATATCCCCGTTAAGTTAGTACTTGTATGATGATCATGCTCTATACCACTTTCGATCCAGCCAGCCAAAAAAAATCAAATGTTGACTACACGGAATCTCCACTCTTATTTAACACACGCTAAATGTTTTGCAAATAAATAAAAACATTGCTTTTTTACGCTCAGATTTTCCTGCGCACCGCCATTTAAGAATTTTTTGACGTCGTGTGGTCTTAACGCTATGTGTTGAAATTTCTTTTGAAAGTCAATGGCTGGATCCAAATCAGACTTCCTTCAATCAACAATAGAAAAAAACTATATAAATGTACATAAATTTCATGGTAATCAGCTACCGATTTCATCTCCTTCTTTAGTGATAGTGTTTGCTAAGTGGGCAGGTCCCTACCAGGAAATGTTCACTGTGAACGATGCAAAGAGACTAATAACACGTTAATGGTTTAAAACCGCTGATAAGCTATTATGATTTTCTTGCTTTGAAACATCCTTTCGACATTAATCTAAAGTGGCTTTAAGCAATTTAATAGTGCAAAGAGCATACGTATACTGAAGTGGTTAACACTATCTGTCATATTGTATATTTAGAATGTGTAATCAAATGGTGACGAGTGAAATTGGGGAATAATTACACGCGCGTTTTGTCCAAATCCGAGCCTTTAGGCAAGGGAAATTATTAGGATTTGGACAAAATACAAGTGAAATTATTCCCTAATTTCACGAGTATACCATTTGATTACCTATTAATATCATGGGTGACGAATTACGTTAGCAATCTTGGATTTTTGACGTGTTTATCTTGGATCATATCGATCGAGAACTCCACTCTCTCAAATGTTTAGACCTTAACTTAGGCTTGTACAGTCCAGAATTTTTCAGGCTTTTTTGTCAAAATACCTGTTAGAATCCTTCATAATGTTCTCTTGTGTGTTCAGATTTTCGAAAGCGCCTTTTTGTGCCCTGACATCTTCATTCACGGCATTTTAAAACTTCGTCGCCATCTTGACACTGAGACGTACGGAAGGTTGCCATGGCAATTTTGTAATTACCAATTATCGCTGAAACTTCGCGCCAAAATTAAGGAGTAATTCGTCACTTATGATATTAAAATAGTAACAGTAGCGATTTAAACAATATACGTAGAAATTACCTAGATACATGATTTGCATGATTGTATATCTAGCCGGATTTTTGATAACGTTGTCGCCAAATGGACCTTTTGCATCGAACAGTTGTTTTCAGCCAAAGTAGCTATTATAAAAACTAAGACTGCAACCATTGCTTTTTTTTTCTTCTCCTCCTTTCCTTCTTCTTGCTCTTTCTTTTTCTCCCTTCCTTTTACTTCGTTACTGTGATTTTGGAGATTCTCGGGGTTAAGAAACCTGCCTTTTGACGCCTTTTCACTCAAATGACTACACATTTCGTTAGGGTTGGTTTTCAAAAAATCGGCTAGATATGGAAAAGGCAATATTAGTGATATTTGATAAATAATCTCAATTGTCTGGTATCTAGCAAATATATGAGAAATAATCAAGTTTTTAAATAAATTAAACAGACGACTCTACTTTAGTTAAACTTGTTTGGCTTCATGAGATTGTGGTGATAGTCTTTTTTACGTCATCCCCTGCCTGGTTCTCTCATGGACACTCTCTTAGGGACGGACCATTAGGAAACTAATGGGGTGGGCGGGCGAAGTACAAAAAAATATTATCCCAAGGGAAAATTAAATGAGAAAAAAATTCATGCTGTGGCCTAAGAAAATCATACAAGAAATTTGATAAAGAAAAAATTCCTGCGGCTCGAAAATTCCCCAACCCCCCCCCCTCCCCCTCCCCCATAACGTTTCTAATGGTCCGTCCCTTAACGAGAGATGTCGAAGGGGCGATCAAAACCTCTGTTTGGCGCGAAGACTGATTACAAATGACGTAGCTGAAAATTTATTAATTGATTGGCTGAAAATAGATATCAGAACACATGTGTTCTGGTAACACACTGGTTCATATAATAACTTATTCTTATTCTGAAAACTGTCAAGTGAACGCGCCATAATTCATCAGTGATCTACAAATGCATCTCTATTTCTAGGGGTTGGAGTAATTACTGGACAAGCTATACACTCAGTACGGAAAATATTTAATTACTATAGCCCAATATCGCCTATTAAAGGCGTATTGTTTATTTATGGCATGCGTTTGCGATGTGTAGCTTTTTCAAACAAACAAAAAAAAGAGTTATTTTGCCGTTTCCCCCGGGTAGAGCATTTGCGCACAAGAAAAAACTGTTTGTCCACGCAATGCGTAAATCGAAACTGACTGTCCGCCCCTCAAAAGAAACGAGTTATCTTGATCTCATATTTTCTTTCTCTCTTTCTTTCTTTTCTGTGTTTTTCCACGGGAACACAAAATGTTGACTTGTTCGCTTAACAGTTAATTAATACTTCCAGATCCATTTCCTGCTCTTTGTTTTCTTTCTTTCTGTCTGCAATTTTTAATCTTTTTAAAAAAATGCGCTGAAATTAAAATTCTTATTTCCGTCACGTCGTCACGCTTGCAGACAATTAACTTCTCCATGGTCTCGTTCCCCATGACTTTTTCTTGCGGAAAAGTCCTGGGAACGAGGTTGGGTCTCATTTTCATATCTTTTTCCCAGAATGAAGGCGGAAGTCGAAAGTAGCTTCAGCGAAAAGAAGTGAAATTCAATTTTTCCAGCTAGAGAAAGTTTGCTTAATCAAGCCTTCGATAAATTGCTTCTTTAGTGTTTAGAGGTAAGTCGAGTGAACCGAAGAAACTTGTTAAATAAACCTCAGCTCGCGACGTTGTTTCTTTCACCTTGAAAATTAAAACAGGTATGTTCAGTCTTGAAGTTTATTAACCTTAAAATATAATTTGGCACATAAATGTTGAATTATTAAAACATAAGCTTACGTGCTTACATATTATTAAAGGTGAAGGTCTAGGATCAGTCAGTAATCTGTTATTCTGTTCTTCCTTTTTATATTTCAAGCCATAGTTAAAATACAAAACATACAAGATCAGAAGAAATGCTCATGCAATCATTCTTCGGTATTCGTAGATACACTTCAAAATATAATTTGAAAACATTTTAGCGTAATACGGATCGTAGTATATAGCACCCCTTGATGATACCTCTGACTAATATTGATTTTATCATAGCATTGCAAACTGAGAGCTCAGAAAAACGAGTATTTTAAAAGCAAAAGCGCTTTCTTTTGAATCTTCGCTCTCCGGCAAAGGCCCGGAGTCGATGTAGCAGGACGATCAGTCATGGCAAAGATAACCAGTTTGCCAAATGGATAATGAATTATATTCAATTACAGTGAAACCCCTCGTTAATCCGACCACAGGAGAGTCATGAAAACTAGATATATGAACGAGAAGTTTTTCGTTAGGTAATTTAAAACATTGTGTTTTCACGTTTACCTTTCCAAAGCCGCCCGTCCGTTGTGTATCTTTATAGAATGGGGGATCGCTCACTTTTAATGCATTCACAGCTCAAAAAAATTGTAAAGGGGTTGGCAGAAGACAAATCATTGTGAGCAGCTACTATCTGCTACTTTACATTCACAAAAAAATCGTAAAGTCTTATAAAACGCAAGAACAAGTTTGGGCCTGATTACATGGAGGTGGGGGACCCCAGGTAGGTGAGGTGACCCGCTTTGGTAGGGTAACCGGACCGTTCATATAGTCTCTCATTTTAATTTGATCACGATTACATGATAGGTGGGGTAACCCACCACATGTTTCCTCACCCATCTGGGGTCGCCCACCTCCATGTAAACAGGCCCTAAGAGAAGCTGTATAAAAGGAAAGAAAAACGAGCAAAGCAAGGAACGAAGGACTGGAAGGAGGGAGGTTGGAAGGAAAAGTAGGCAGCTTAGTATTCCTAGAAGCTAAGAATGAAGTTAGATATATTGTCACACCTAACACTTTTCTACATTTTTGAATCTTATATTGTTTTATTTTCTAATTACTGCATGCTTCAGATACAAAGGTTGAAGCCCGTTAGATCTCTGACGCTTTGGATCCAATATGGCAGGTTAGTGTTCGGTCAGAGCACTATAAT